TAGTTCCGAATATTCTTATTATTCCGACCTATTTTTCCGGACGATCACCCGATCCCAACCCGGTACACATTTTCTAGATGCTCTATTTTTTGAATAAAGACCCGGGTATAACTATATTATTCCATATGAACATGCTCCAAATATAGTATACAAAGTACTAATCGATTTTAAAAGAATAAAACCCCGGGTACTATAAGCAGTGCTATACAGTAAATATGTTTGGGTGCAAAAGCAATTTAAAAATAATTATAGAAGAACTGGATGAAACCAGCTGTGAAACCTGAGTCACCAGCTAGTAAAATTCGCTATATAGCGATAGAGTGAAATCTGACTTGGGTAAAATCCGAGTTTTGCTATGTTTTTTATTATACAAAAGCGGATTTCAACCTTCATGTGATCTACATAGCAGATTTCACTCTACATAGCGAGTTTTACTAGCTGGTGACTCAGGTTTCACCCTGTCGTATAATAAAATTTATACCGATACAAGTTAGCAAGCTTTATGGTGAAGTCTGAAACAAAAGTTTTACTAAAAGTAAATATATATATTTTATTTGTTAAATTGCTAATTCAGTGGTTTGAGGTTCGTTCCTTGTTTCATTTGCTTACTATTTTTTAACACTTGTTTCTTTTACAATATTTCACAAAGTAATTTATTAAAATAATACTTATCAGTCATCTTTCCCACTCCTGCATCACACAACTCCGGCACATGTTTTAATGACCAAAAATAATAAACGTTACCCGTTCCAGTACCCGTTAACCTAGCGTTGAATCAGTGTGCCTCAAAACTGTATATTCCCCCGGATAATACTAATAGAGGTATGATTATTAAACTGGACAAGAAATTATAAAATTTTTCTAAAGGTTACTAATATTAGAGCCAGTGTGCGAAATTCAATGTTCTCAATGTTCTCTGAGAACATAAAAATTTTAGGTTACACTTATGTGAGAACATAAAAAATCTCAAAATCTATTATATAGAAGTTCTTGTGAGAACATATATTAAATTTGAATTTCACACACTGATTAGAGCCCGTCATCATATGACGGGCTAAATTGTATAGAATAAACATGTTATGAGAATGTTGCAAAGACTGTTATATAATGAGACAATCGGGCTATATACAGTATGTTATGCGTCCATCAGGAAATTTTTTAAGTTGATAAGTAACAATCGATTAAATTTAATCGACGGTGGTGTTGATAAAATAAATCAAATTGATAATAATCGATTATAATCAACATATACAAAAAAATTAATTAAAAGTGATTTAAAATAATTAAACTAAATCGATTATAATCAATATTTTTTATTTATTATCGATAAAAATCTGCTTCAATTTTACGTAATCGGCGGTTGATGAAAATCGTTTGAAATCCTTAGATTTTAATTGATTCTAATCGGCTTTTAGAATTTCCTGATGTCATTCTCAATTCATGTCAATTATTATATTAATTGATGCATTTCATTTTTCAATTTGAAAATGATACAGTGTTTTCAACAAATTTTTGTATAAATTTACGATTAATAAAGAAATTATTACGACACATTTAAACTTATGCGTATATTCAAATCTATGCATGTTTCATTGGGGTGCTCGATCTACTATGTAAATCAAAACTATATGAGTGCGTGAGAATGAAAACCTGTAACTGATCATAGTAAATTATTATAATCAGTTCCAGGTTTTTATTCTCACGCACTCATATATGGTATCATATAAAAATTTAATATCGAAGATTTTTGTGTACCTAGTTGATCGCCAATACTGTATAATACTACATATAAATTATTGATTTATTAAAATAATAAAATATATCGATACTGATACGTATGAATTATTGTGATTTATTAAAGTAATAAAATATATTAATAATTATTGTGATAAATTACAAATTATATATTTAAAAGTTATTTTAATGATTAAATTAATATAGTAAATTATTTAAAAGATTTGCGGCAGTATTGGGTCCAAATAGCGATGTTTGAGTTTCTTGAAGAGGAGTTTTCTTTTGATTCACCCTTATCTCCTTTAATTCTTCTAATAAATTTTCTTTTTCAATTTTACCAGAGGATAACTGAAGTTTAGACTGCTTAATCGATAGTACCATGTTTGAATGTGTTTTTAGATCTAGCTTGTTAAATAAACCTTTTACTTGTTGTTGATGAACAATTATAAAGTAGATTCGGGTTTTAATGAAATTATATAATTCAGGAAAATTATATACTGGTAAATTATCATCTGCACAGAATTGTTCAAATTCTTTAAAAAAATTATTGTTTTCCAATAGCAATTCACGTAGTCCGAAGGTATCAGTTATTCCATTTCTTATATCAGTTTTCAATTCTTCTGCAAATCATAACTCTAAATCATTTGGTGGCATAATCCAAGGTTTTTCTAAAATTGCATAGTAAAAACTAGAAGCAAATGATCTGGCATTGTTACTTCCAAGATGACAAACAACTAAAGGTAGATGAAGCCATGGTAATAGCTATTTTTCAAAATGTTTTAAAGCTTTGACGATTCTATTTTCCAAATTATCAAAAAAATATCTGAATTCTTTACTAGTTAAATTATCTAATGCTTTTAATAACTCTTCAGAAAAGAACATTTCGAAATTTTTAACAAGATCTTCAAGAAACCTATTCTACTCATAAACTTTGTCAGACATCTTGTGTACTTGCCGACCAAAAGGCAAAATATTTAATTGATTATTTTGATAAATTCTTGGAATTTTATCATGTTCAACTAAGAATTGCAATACTGGCTCATAAAAATGTTCAGCAAAATTAACTAAACATTTAATTTGAATATTCAACTTTGGATTAAGAAGCCATGAGCAAAAAAGGCACCAATCATTTAGATACGATTTTGGTGTTTTGTGCTTTTCCATTTTAGTAATAAACCATTGAGTAAATTCAATATGCGCTAAACGTCGATTAAGGTATTGCTTAGCTGTTTTTAACTTATAACCCCAACGCGATCTAAGTAACAATTGGTATTGGTTATAGTGATATCCTAGTAACTCATCATACAAGTTCTTGATTATTTGTGAATTAATATTCATTGGTTTGTCTTTATCACTGGAATCATATCCGTCATGTAATTTCCATGCAAGGTAAAGCAGATTATAAATATGTGGCTTTTTGGAAAATTCTGTAGTGTTTGAGAGTAAGCCAAAGGCTTCTTGTTCAAAATAGTTCATAATAATCTGAATAATGTAAAGACCACAGCCAATCTGTAAAGAGTTTTCATTAGTTTTTTTATTAAAAAGGACTACAGCTCCTTTTTTATCCCCAGACATATATGAGGTATTGTCTGTGACCCAAAGTTTACATTTCTTAATATCTAATCTATTTTTTTTGAATATGCATAATTACAATATCTGATATGACTTCAGCATTACATTTTATAATATTCTGTAATTGGGTGACCATTGCAATAGGCAACTGATTTTCATTACTCCAGAATTAGTAACAAAGCACTACATTTTTGGTTTGCCCTCGTATCGATTCATTTATTATTACTCCAAATACAGGTGCATTCATTACTTGAGTAATTTGTCTACTAAAATGCAACTCTGAAATATCTTGGTACCAAATACGCAAAGTAGATGTTGATAAAAAATTTTGAGGAGGTTCTCCCGTCAAAAATTCATAAATTAATTGTATACATTCAGCAGTGGAGTGTAATGATATTTGGCCTACTTGTAAAATGTTTGTTGCAGCCATATTGTATTTGAAGAATAAAATTTATTATTTGGTTTAAAAATCGATTTAATTTTGTCGCAATATTCTTCATCAGTGATTTGTTTTGAGTGACGGACTAAAGAACGGATTTCAGTAATATGATTCGATTTTTGGCCCTAGAGGTGTTGAGCTTTTGCTCCAAGTGATTGAGTTAGTTTAACAAAAGCAGTATTCTTTTTATGAAGCTTTTTATTTTTTTTTTCTAATGACATATTTGATTTCTTTAAAGATTGATAACTGGCTTGATGTTTATAAAGAGTTTGCATAAGGTAATCATACATTTTTCTTTGTAAATATAGTGAAATTATGTTTCCCAGATTTGGACCTTTTGGATATTTCATAATCGAGATAAGATTGGTTGCTAGTAATATATCTTTTTCAAGTAATTTGTATATCATTAAAGTTAATCGATTACGTTTTGTAGATACTTCGTTGGTGACTGCTTCATTGGTAGATATTTCATTGGTAGTTTCTTCATTGGTAGATACTTCATTAGGAGATGCAGATTGTTTTTGTAATAATAGATTCCTTTGATGTTTTTCAAGACGAATTTTAATTGGCATTTTTTAGTTGAAATCAGCACTTATATAACTTGTAAATACCCATAGTTCTTTGAAATACAAGTTTCAAAGATTATTTTAGATATATAGCCCTTAAAACCGGTTCTGATGAACCCAAATTTTGTACAAATCAAGGTTAAGTTCCAAAGAACAAAGTTACGAAGC